TCTCCAAGCTTTTGGAGGAACTCAAAGGGAAAAGCTTTCTGAGCAAAATAAGCTTTATGTTTACATCCTTACATAATCTTGTTTCCTCTTGCCCCTAAATTGTACCACGCTGCTTATTTTGTACTCTTCTTTTGCAAAGAACACTACTCCTTATATGATTTATTGTGTCATGAAACTCTATGCTACATTTTATTACTAGATCATGGACCTTCCAGTCGGAATCTTCATGTTAAAGTAGAATTTATAGTTGCAATAGTATGCTTCAAGTTTTGCTTCTTTATGAATTATGCTCTCTTTTTTTCCCCCCCTCATAAAAGTTTTCTTAATGAACAGGTTATGGGCTAGCTGGGTATGCCTTATTTGTAGCAGTAATTGCTGGCTTAGAAGTAAGAACTTGCCCTCTCTCTAAAGCATAATATGTTTACAAGGCTTCATTAATCTATCACTAACATCCATCATGTCATTCTTTAGGAGGTTCATGTTAAAAATAGTAAATGTTGTGTCTTTGTTTCTCATATCACAAGCTAAAAACAGTTGAATGAATTTCATTTATCATTTTATTTCAAGTCACAAAATCTACATATGAACGTGAGAATTATCTTAAATTTCTATAAATAGTCCCTTTGATCATAAACAATATCCAACATGTGCAGAGTTCCATTATAATTCATGTATGAATTTTTTTTTTTAATTCAACTTTTCTGACACTTTTACTAATATGTTTTCCTAGATCCTTGCAATACCAGCTATCCCGTTAACCATGTCAGCTGGTCTACTATTTGGTTATATTATTGGCACTATCATTGTCTTTATTAGTGGAACGGTAAGTTGGAAGTTTTGCCAGTATGAAAGAACAAATTTTAAGGAAATAGGGTGTACTTGAACTTGTATCTTCTTACCCTTTCAGGTGGCTGCAAGTGTTTCCTTTCTAATTGCCAGATATTTTTCCCGTGATCGTATTCTTAAATTGGCGGAAGGAAACAAGAAATTTCTTACGATTGACAAGGTAATTGGAGAAAATGGTTTTAGAGTTGCTACGCTTCTCCATTTGAGCCCTTTGCTTCCTTTCTCTCTTGGAAATTATTTATATGGACTTACATCAGTGAAGTTTGTTCCATATGTGTTAGGAAGGTTTGCTTCTTGTATATATTTATGGGAAAGAGCAAAAAAAAATTTGTTCAGATCAAATCTTCAAATTTGTATGGAGGCAACCATGATGATCTTCAAATTTGTTGATGTTTTAAAATTTCTTGATCATTTCTTAATACCTCAAGAAATATTTTTGTCCTTGAGTCGTTAGTTTTTGTACTTATGTGAAGTTTCCTTTGTCATGCAGACAAGAAATGCAACAGGGTTAGTTGCTCCAGCTATTGCCACGAGTTTAGGTGCCTTAACATATACATTGGGCACCCTCGTCCCTATGATAGGAGCAAGTGGATTTGCTACAGCTACACCTGTAACTGCTATAGAAACTGTTGCCAGTAGTTTTAGATAATCTCTCAATAGTTATCGATATGTTTAGAAAGTTAGATATGCATAGTTTTGGGTGGTTTAAACTTTTTGTACAGTTTAGAACTTAAAGATATAGTTTTCGAATCTTTAGAATATATAGACAATTGTTGAATGTTTATAATTTATGGATATAGTTTCTTTTTGATGTTTCAAACAATATTTTGGTGGTTGATTGATATTTTGTGATGCTTGTTTGTAATATTTGTTAGATTGTACAAAATTGGTCAAATAGAACCTGTTGAATTTAAAAATAAAAAAAAACTGCATATTCTACGGCAGACATAATAAGTAGTCGTATTACATATTTTACGGCGCGCAATCAGCGTCGTTATTTGTCTTACCAATTAACAACGTACAACATCTGCCATTAAATAGTTTTTAACGACATACTATAGTATGTCATGAAAAAAGTAACAACGACGCACAAAATCTGCCGTTAAATAGTTTTTAACCGCGTACGAAGCATGTCGTTGAAAGTGAATGACTTTCCATGACTAATCATAATATGACGCACGCTGCACATCGTAGAAGAGTTTTTACGGCATGCATTGTGTGCCATTTTCCTTTTTTTACTCCATCTATTTCTACCTCTATACATAACTCTACCCCTACTCTTCCTCAACTACACTCCTTTTTCTAGTCCTCTTTTCAGTCTGCTCCTACTTCTGTTTAGCCATCTGCAATATCAATTCGGCTTATGTTCTTTCCTTTCAGCCTTCTACTCCTATTGTTTCTGCTTTGCCTGCAGCAGTTTAGTTTGCTTTTGGCCAACCTGCTGCTGCCACTGTCTTCCCTGGTCTGTCTGTTACTGCCTTGTCTCCATCTTTTGCTATCTCTCCCTCTATTCCTATTTCCTCTCTAACTATTGATCTCCCTTTTGTGCATCCTATTCCTATTTTCCTTGCTCCTTCTTACTCTTCTCTAAATATTCATCCCATGACTACCAAGTCCAAGTCTTTTTCTTCTTCTGCTCTTCTCTCTACTATTTCCCCTCTTGTTGAATCCACTTGTTTCTCTGGGTTTAAATGCTATGCTTTGTTCATTGATGAATTTAGCAAATTTACTTGGGTTTATCCTCTTTGCTATAAAAGTGAAGTGTTTACCAAATTTATGGAATTTAAGGTGTTTGTTGAAAATCAATTTGAGACTACTCTTAAAAATTTTCGCACTGATGGTGGTGGCAAGTACACTAGTTCTCTATTTGAGATTTTTCTTAGAACACATGGCATCTGTAGACACCCCATTTTTGATCGTCCTCAAGACTTGGACGTCACCATTGGAATACTTGGTGATTACCCTTGTTTATGTTCATCTTGAGTTCCCGGAGGTCTTGGTTGCGCGCCCTGCCTCAGGATCTCTCGACTCGACCGTGTTGTGTCTGGTTTTGCACCAAACACTTGTGTTTTGCCTTAGAGGGGCAGGGAATGCCTTGTGAGGCATCCCCACACATCACCGGCCATGGCTAGAGGCCACCAGCCATTGATTTTGTGCCATTGGCAATATGTATTGTCGGTCGGCACTCTTTGTTGCCGGTCGGCCATTTATTTTGTCAAAATGACACTTTTGGCTGGCCGATCACTGTTCATCTACTTTTAGTAGATATTTTGTGCCAGCTGTGATAGTTGGCACCCACCTTTGCCCCCCTCCATACACGTGTATGGAGGGATTTCACTCTTGCCAAGCTTGTCTTGTAAGCCTTGCAAGAGTGAATGTCTATAAGAGGAGACCTCTTCCTTTTCTTCTAGGGTTACAAAAAATATAGAGGAGAGCTTTGGTTCTAGGGTTAAGATAGTTGTAGCTATTCTATCTCTCTTTTTCTCTCTTTTGTGTTCTAGGTGTGTTTGTCCATATTATTGCACACAAACACATAGTGTTACACCTTTTCTTGGTTATTAAGGGCCAAAGGAGTGTTCTTGGAGTTCTTAGAGTTGGTTTGGAGCTAAAGAAGCTGTTGGAGCTTCACTTGTGAAGAAAGACTTCAAGGGTAATAATTTTGCCTCTTTTTACCCCTTTCTTGCATTGTATTTTTGACTACTTTGCAACTGTCTTTGTGCTTAGTGTATAACATAAAAAAGTTCTATTTTTAGGCCCTCTAAATAGTTTCTTTAGAGTGTTTTGTGATTTGAGGTTGTTTGACCCCTCTTGAGCCTTGTAAGGCCCCCTTTTGTACCATTTTGAGTGAGCTCCGGGACTTTGGTGTTTGGGCCTCCTCACCACTAAAATCTTGAGGGATTTCAGTGGTAAGGATGGTGCCTTGAAGTCCCAAGAAGGAGAGGGCCACCCCCTCTCCTTGTTGTCCTTGAAAAGGACCATTTTTGGCCTCTTGAGGGAGCACCACGTTTAGGTTCATGTTGACCATGCCTTAGCTGATTTTTGTGCTTATTATGTCATAATATGCCTCTGTTTTTAGTTGGTTTTGGTACACCATGATTGCTTAGCATACCTACCTTGTAATGCCATGATTTGCCTCAATACATGCATAGCATTTAGACTATCATGCTTTTGTGTTTTGGCCAAGCTTTGTGAAGCTTGTTTCCATGATTTGGTGTGCTAAGGGACTGTTTCAAGTCATTTGAGTCATTCATGCCTTTCTTTGTATAGCTACCATGTAATCCCTCTTGTATGCCTTAAGCTTTGGCCCTTCTAGCATACCATTCTTGCATTGGTTTAGTGGTTTGGAACCATCCACCATGTCATTTCAGTCCACTTAACATGTTTATATGCTTGCATTTCACGGCGCTTTTGATGCTTCAAGAGTTGGTGTTTCATGCTTCATGTTTGTGCCATTGTGTATGCCTCTAGGATTAGGTCATTTAGATGCCATCTAAATGGTTCTTGAGGCTTACTTTTGCATGATTTGGGACTGTTTTGATGCATTTTGATCATTTGCTTCATGTGTCATATGATCATGTTTTAGGTCCTTGAGCTTGGTGGCATGCATAGCTTGCATTGGTAGGTTGATTTGGCATCATTTCTTGCATGATTTTCAAGGCTTAATTTGCATGCTATATGTCCATGTTTGCATCCTCTTGAGTGTGCTTGAGATTTGCTCTTTAATGCTTGAAGTGTTGGAGATCATTGGCATGCATGTTTGTGTGCCTATTAGTCCTTCATTTTTGAGCATCTTGGCCACTGTTTTAGGTTAGCTTGAGGGCTACCTAAATTAGTCTAAGTCCATCCCCTTTGCTTGGTTGTGTGCTCACCTTGTATGTTTGCTTGCATACTTGTATATTCGCATTGAATTGCCATGTTGCATGCTAGTTCACATGCTTAGGATTGCATTGCATGAGTATGCATGCTTGACCTCTTGAAGTGAGTATGATATAGGTTGAGTTCAATTTGTTTGATTATGTGCATTGCATTTCATATCAAGATGCACACTTGATTCTTTGGGCCATCATGCATAGAAATGCGCGATTGGTGGTCCGAGAATCGAAGACCATGTCCCTTTGAGTCATACACATGATAAGGGGTGTGATTGGTGCATACGTTTCTTGAATTGCATTGCCATGCTATGCCTTGCCCTCTGCTGCTGTCAATTGCAGGTTCTGCAGACATTCTTTGCCGACCGGCAGTATTCAGTGCCGACCAGCAATCCATTTATGGCCGATGGCTTCACCAACAGCCGATGATCACATACTACTGTCGATGGCCATTCTACTCAGCCGGTGGTGTCTCCCAATGTCCAGGGAAGCAATTCTGAGACTTCGGCAGTTTTCAGAGGGGCAGAGCAGGGAAAACAGAGGCAGCCTATGCATGGCAGTGCACTTCTGAGCAAGACCCGAGCGCGCGCGCATCGAACCCTCTTCCCGAGGCCTTTTCTTTCTTGCTTTATTAAATTAATTAATTTTGTTTAATTAATTTAGTTGGTCTGTAATAATTAATTAGCTAGGATAGTTAATTCGTTATTCGAATTATATTATTCTTTCGATCCCTCCGAGCGAGGGTGAATTTGTAATAAGTGTGGGTGCGTATGTGCATGTTTTCCAACCCCCACTTCTTTCTCCCTTTTATTTACCTGCTTTTGATAGTTAATATTAGGACATGTTTAATTTAGCATACCTTATGCTATGCATGCGTGCATCTATACATTTGTCTCGCATGCACCGGGCTCGGAACATCATGCTAACTGCATTTGTACTTCAATTCCAAATTGAATACGTGCATCAATTGATTACATTTCACATGCCATGCTTAGGTTAGCCGAGCCTACTCTAAATGCATCGCCTACTCTAGTGACATTCCGTATGCGTTGCATTAGGCATTTAAACATGGACTTGGATCATGCATCGTTTGCTAACGAGTTCTTTGTTTTGGCAGCGAAGTACAATGTAAGTATTTATGTTTTAGCATCTCGCATGAGTGTGAATGTTAACAAATGGCATGATTACCATGAGGCTAGCTGCTTATGTGATATAACTGCTGAATGCCTGTGGGTGAAGTTGGATTGTTTGAGTTGGAACAGCTCATTGAAATCCGTGTTTTAGCCTACTTGCGAGTAGCAAATCCCTAAAGCATTTTCAAAACAAACGGATATGCAATGCTTATTTCCAAATTAGGCGGTCTAGTCTATACTTGTTTGCTGTGCGCACAATATAGTAATTCTAGGCTACAACCGGAAAATAAGAACACATAACGTTTTCAAAAATGGATATCATGGTTAGTAGAGGCCGATCTTCGGATCGGCGAGAGGGGGTGCTCATAGCTGACCTTCCCCAATCGTAACCCAAGCTCCCGAGCCGAGGCAACTTTGGTGATGACGGATACGTGGCCTTTGGCACCGAGTTAGGGTTCCCTAAATTCCCCATAAAAAATATTTAGGTGGCGACTCTTGTATCTGGCAAAGCAGTCCATGTTTGGCACTTCTTTTCAAAAAAATCTATTTCTCAAAACGATTTGCCCGGATTTGGACTCTTTGGTCAGATTTAGAACCGTGACACAAAAATCGAGTCCGAACTGTGGCAGGGTCCTCGCCGGACGTGCCACAAGCATCATTCATCAAATGTGCTTGTCCACACACTCTTCTCCAAAATGGAGTTGCTGAGAGAAAAACATAGGCACATTGTCACTACTACCAAATTGCTTTGCTAACAGCAATCAGGTCTTCCCCTTGCTTATTGGTTTGATGTTCTTGCTACTTCTATCTTTCCTCATTAA